AAAACAAAAAAACAGCAGATACATATATATACACATAACTATGAACCATAATATAACAACACATACGAACCAAATCACGATCCAAGTTAGAAGACATCACATGCATAATATGACAACAACAGGAGACCAATAGGATAGATACCACATAGCGCACTTAGACAAAAGATGACAAACATAAATACACCCACACACCAAAAAAACAAACAAACACACACGAACAGAAGCAGGCTATACACACACAACACTAGATCATACACAAATAAGCAAGACAAGGAGAATAAAAAAGGAGAGTAGGATATAGGACGATACAATAGAACAGATAGACATCACGAGAACCTCACAGAACAGGAAAAAAAACATCAGGAAAAAAAAAAACGAAATGACACGCACTAGAGAGAGACAAGCCCACTGCCAAAACAACAGAAATCCATAACCAAATAGTACGAAAGCAATACACTAGCAAACACATAACACCAACAACACACTGCATGAAGACAGAATGGAAGCACAGAGAGAGACACACGAATACTGACAGAAAAACAATAAGAATCACAGATACAGGGATAACATATATAGGCTGGATGAAAAAAAAAAAAAAAAAATACCTCAAGGCCAAACTCGAAAATATGAACCACAGAATCAGGACTAATAGCAAACTAAGAAAAAAAAAAATCATCACCGACGAAGACACATCATACCACAGATACATACATCAGCCGACTGAAGGAGCTACACAACAGGAGCAAAATAGCAGAGACAGCAGAGCACCAGACAAATAACGAGAAGGCGGGAGGAGCAGGACAGAGAGGAAACAAACAAGCAGACAAAGCTTGGCATTTCCTGACGGAAATGGGACAGCCTGCCCTCGCCCCCTGGCATAACGCGGCTCCCCAGCCTCGCCTGCTCGCCTCGCTCACAGGGACAGGAGCCCCAAGTGAGGGGAGCGGGCACGCGCCCTGGCAAGGCCCAGAGAGGGCCTATTGATTGGGCTTTCTTTGGTTTTTCTGGTTTGGAAAGTCGCCGCAGTCCACACGAGGCCACATGCGGTGGCCTGTTCTGCGATTTGGACTGAGGTTAAAATTTTATTTTTTTTTTTTATTATTACTTTTACCGAACATAAACCAAGGTAGTTTGCTTATATTCATGAATTAGCAAGTGAAGGCAACTCCAGGCTAGCTGACGTTGCTCCTTGCCTTCTGCCCGCATGGCAGTGCCTGTGTCCCGGAGGACGAGCCTGTGGCAGAGGTGGCCTCGTCCTGTACTCTTTCAAAGCTGTTTGCTCATCTTAGTGTTGACCCTCAACGCCAGAGGCTCACGCTGACGGCACGTGTGAAGACACCGGGAATCCCTGCCCGGTGGGGACACACTGAAGAACTGGGAGGGCATGCTATCGTGTTTTGCATCAGAGGGTGACCTGGGAGATCTCCAACCCACCAGCTGGTATCAGGACAAGGAGCTCACAGGCAGGGAGTTTGCAGCCCAGCTGTTCTCACCGCTGCTTTTCCAGGGAATTCAGGAGTTCAGTTTCCTGTGGGCTGTCCCCTTTCCAGCAGTCCAAGGCGAGGCACGTCTGACTCCCACTGATGATACAGGACAATCTCCGGCTTGGGGGGAGAGGACTGGGCTGGGCCCGCTGTCCTCCATAACCATGTCTCGCCCTGTCTCAAGCACAGACGCCGCGGCAGACTCAGCTGGGTGAGTGTGTGTCTCTTCTGCTTCAGCAGCGGGTGAGAGCTTAAGACCTGGGGGAGGCAGGGGGGAAGACGCAAGGTGTCTCAGCTGAAGAGCTGGGAGAGTCTCTCCTCGTGATTTCACTCACATCTCCAATGAATTGTGACCTGAACTAGTAAGACTTTTCCAAATGAAATCAGTCTTTTAAGATCTGTATCAGGCCATCTAATTAACAGAATTTCTAAAGAACTTTCATGATTTTGTGATGTACTCCTGAAGGATGTGTTTGAGTTTCTTATTTACTAATATTTGCCAATGGAACTTGTTACATTTAATTACATGAAAATTTACTTTTTATAATGTAGGAAATCTCAACAAATTCAAAATGACTTAGTTATATTTCTTTGTCATTTTATGTTTGAAGACACCAAGTATTTTTATAATATTTGATAGCTGCTTAAAATTATAATATCATAAAATTAGATGTTCTCGCCATTTTGTATTATTTATATTTTATCAGCTTACCATAAAGATTTTATTTTGTCATATTCAGTTATAATGAAATTTTTGGAAGGTTAACATAAAACTCTCTAGAAATGCCACTTTCTGCTATTTACCAAATGTTTCTAGAGCTAATGAATATCTTATATGGAGTGATCTGGTAACTTTAAGCATGCTTTTAAACACTTCAGTAAAATAAAGTCAGCATCAGTATTTATGTCTTGTAAGTAAATTAAATTTATATAACATTTTCATACATGTGTTTAGATAAGATTGTTTTATAATGAGAGAATAATCCTTTCAAAAATCATTTGAAAGACATAGCATCCAATTTAAAATTATTTAAAAATAATTTTAAAAATATCCTGTATTTAAAAATATCCTGTAAATTTTGTATTTCTGCTGTTTCCTCTGAGAGTTTCCAATTGTACTTTATTAAAATGTATATTTACATATGTTAATTTTGTCATTTATATTCATAAGTCATTTGTTTGAGTTTAGTAAAGATATTAATAGTATATTTTAGCACAGGGGTCCTCAAACTTTTTAATCAGGGGGCCAGTTCAATGTGCCTCAGACCATTGGAGGGCCGGACTATAGTTTTACAAAAACTATGAACAATTTCCTGTGCACACTGCACACACCTTGTTTTAGGTCATCAGCTGTGTTTCTCATGTTGCCAACCACTGCCACGAAACCGGCAGACTACCTGACCTTGTCACCTGCAGTTTTCAGAGTCACTATTGCTGGGCGTGTCTGGTCAAGGGATTGATAGTGCCATTCACAGAATATGGAAAATTGTTGGAGAAAAGGGCACCTCAAATTAACATGACAAAGACAGGATTTTCATTATATTCTAAAATCTGCACAAAGCAAAATGCAAAGATCTCTCTTCAAATAAAATCCTGCATTAAATAATACAACTCTAAATTATTTATTATGAAAAAGATAAAGGCAAAGGATTTTACCAGGCTTCAGTTTCTCCAGAACATGTTCGTAGGCAAAATAGCACTTAGGTTCTTGTAAAAGTCTTCATTTCAGTGCAGTCTTTGTCTTTAACTCAGCTGATACCTCAGATGATACCTGCATCCAGGACAATAACATGAGACAATCTTTGCAAAACTATCTAGTGACATATTTTAAAGTGTTATGATTTTGGTGATATCCTGATAAAAACTTGGAGGGAAGTATGCAATATTGAAATCTAAATACATTTTCTTGAATGGGAGGCTGCCTGTACACTAAGTGAGGTCTCAATGAAAGGACCACTATGTGATTATTCTCGTCTTATCTTCAAATATTATGGGAGCACAAACACTTTGGTTACATATTATGTGACTATTGTGATGCACATCTATAAATGTCGTATAATGGATAAATGTAGTTCCTGTTCTGATAATTGAGAGCTGGACTTTAGCAATCCACTCCTAAGATGAGGTGAGTCTGCGTGTGATATCTCTGGATTGGAAACTAAACAGAGAGAGCGTCAATTTGGGGAAATACCATTAAAAGGACTTGTGGTAAGTGAACTCATGCCTCCTGGCGAAAATACATCCTAAATCTCTAGTACTTGGGAATATGTTAGATGTTATGGAAAAGAGAAGTAAGATTGCAAATGAAATCCACCTTGGTAATAATCTTCTCATATAAAAGAGGAAGATCTTCTTGATTATCATGGGGGAGGCCACAAGCATAGATTTCCACAAACACGAAAGAGAGATGAAGATGGCAGTGAAGGTGATGTGCTGTGAGATGCACATGGGTTCTTTTCTCAATGTGTTGTTGAGTCTTTTCTCTTCAGCATGAAATGTCATTCAGTTCAGCTTTACAAATAATAGTGAGTAATCTTATCTGCCCCTCACTCTTCATGGTCGAAATATTACATGAAAGAATACAGAAGAATAAACAAATTTTCTGGACATGGAGGCCCAAGTCAAATAGAAGCAGACATAGTTGGCACTATATTAAGGCAAAATTGTGAATATGTTGGTGGGATATATATTTATATATATAATATATACAGGATTTATAAATTATATATACATACAAACATACATGTGTGTGTTATTATGTAGAGAAAATAAGGCTTAATTTTCAATAATTTATATTGGACAATCAGGGCTATTAAAACGTAAGGGTTGTGAAATCGCTTAAAAGTATTACATGATATAGAAACTATAAAAAAATAATAATTATGTAAAGTAAAAATATTGTTGCTGGGTAATTAGACTACTAAACAAAAAGATTTATGATACATCTATTCATTTTTTTTTTTTTTTTTGAGACAGAGTCTCGCTTTGTTGCCTAGGCTAGAGTGAGTGCCGTGGCGTCAGCCGTAATGACAGGGAGTCCGCTTTGTGCTTAGGCTAGAGTTTTGATGTGGTAGTTTGCCTGTGTTCCTATGCCTCGCTCGACTTAGCACCAAACTCCTGGCTCAAGCAATCCTGCTGCCTCAGCCTCCCAAGTAGCTGGGACTACAGGCATGTGCCACCATGCCCGGCTCAATATTTTTCTATTATATATTAGTTGGCCAATTATTTCTTTCTATTTATAGTAGGAGACGGGGTCTCGCTCTTGCTCAGGCTGGGTTCGAACTCCTGACCTCGAGCAATCCGCCGCCTCGGGCCTCCCAGAGAGCTAGGATTACAGCGGGTGAGCCACCGCGCCCCGGCCCATCTATTCATTTTTTTCCAGAAATAAAAATGTTTCTTTCAATGCTATTAAAAGAATCACTCTTCACTTATGTCACCATTTAAAAATACCTTCTTTTTGCAAAACGGCATTGGACTCACAGCCAACACCTTCCTCCTCCTCTCCCCGCATCCTACGCTCTTTCTAGATCACAGGGCTCGAAGCCCCAGACCTGCTCACCGGTAACTTGGCCCTCGTCCACATACTGATGCTGCTCACCATGGTGTTTTTCTCTCCAGGGCTGTTTGAGTCCCTGCGTTTTCAGAATGACATCAAGTGTAAGGCTCTGTTCTACTGCAGAGGGTAATGAGGGCTTCTCCATCTGCACCACCTGCCTCCTGAGCATGCTCCAGGCCGTCACCATCAGGCCAGCTCCTCCTGGTTGGGCCGGTTCAAACAGAATCCAGAGGCTACCGTTCGTCGCATTCCTTACTCTTTTTCATGGTTTTCTCAGTTTGTTCCTTCAGTAGTAACCTGCTCTTCTCTACCGTGGAGCTTCTAATGTGACCCAGACCCAAGAGCTGAGTTTGGTAACTACTGCTCACTGTCTTCTGCAAGGTTACCTCAGTGGAGCCTGTTTTTCCTGCTGGCATATGGAGAGACATCTCCTTTTGTAGGCGGCATGGCTGCTCTCAAGTGGTGTACATGGTGACTCCTTTGTTCAGGCATCAGAGCGATCCAGCACCTGCACAACATCTCCCTTCGAGCATCTCCCGGAGAAAAGGGCCACCATTTCATTCCTGCTCCTGGTCAGTTCTTTGTGGTCATGTACTGGGTTGACGCTGGTCATCTCATCCTGCCATATAGTGTTTTCTGGCATACAGCCCCGTCGGTGCTGGGTCCATACGCTGGGGGGCAATGCCTATGCACAGTGGAGTCCTTTGGTGGATAATCGTTTTTGGATAAAAGAATAATCAGTACTCTGCAAAATATGCAACACAAGGTCATTGAGTTTAACAAAATAATAAAATAATTCTCTGAAAAATGGGTAAATACCTGGGCTCACGGGATGGGAGCTTGAACAATGAGAGCCATTTTGCCCACAGGAGGCAACCCCTGTGGTTATAAAACAACTTGTTTTGTTGAAATTGGCTTCTGCTGTCTCCTGACTCTCGCCCCTTAAGTCCACAATAACCCAATTAAAGAAATATACAGGCACTATACACCGTTTGTTATTCCTCTGTTAATTTATAACTATCTCTTAGAATTTAGAGAAGTCAGCCTTGAAAGACTTTGTACCTGTTTCACCTAGATAATTAGAAATTGCTAGAAACCCTTGGAAAGACTTTTGATGATAACCCATACCTGTGTAATCTTCTTCCATAGCAAACTGCACTATCTATACATAATGTGTCACTATCAACTAGTAATTATATCTGTGATTTTAAAAAACCATGTGAATCTAACCATAATGCTGGACCATTCACGGATGTGTCAGACTCCTGAGTACCCCGCTTTATCTGTATTCTCTATATAAAACTATTAACTATACCTCTCACTGTGTGTATTCTTGTATCTCCTATTTCCCATCAATGTTCTTATCCTCTGTGGTGGCCCTATCTAAAGGACCTCGCTTGTTGGGGAAATAGCTAATCTTCTCATTGCCCTGACACACTTGCAGCTTGGCATAGCCAGCAGGATGGGTAGGACATTTTTTGGCTGGATACTTTTTTGTGCAATTTTTGTGGCAGGTTTCTTCTTCAGGTTTCCTAAGATAAATGGCTTCACTGGAGTGAAGGAGATCTCCACACTGTGCCACGAGGGGACCCAGATGGCAGCAACCAAAAGGAAGACATGAGACCCCTGGGAATTGGTATTTAAGACTACTTGGGATAACTAAAATGCGGAAGGCTTTCTTTATACTGAGCTAGACTTCGGGTCTTTTTAGTGAGACAGAAAGTTCCCTCCTAGAAAAGCACAGTGAGGGACTCAGGGCTGGTTTGCAGAAAGGGAGGAGGTTTTTAGGACCTTCTGTCTTCATCAGGATGGGAAAGGATAAAGCCAGTAGGAGATGGCTGTTGGCCTTGAGTATGGGTTGGGTGAAAGAAAAAACTAAGAAGCGAAGAGATTCTAAAGGTGAACTTTCGATCAAAGTAGTAGGTAGAAATTCCACCTCCCTAGCTCCAAGCTTTTGGATGAGGAGCCATTGTTTCTTATGCAATGGCTCTCAGAAGCATGATTTGCCCTTGAGAAAGGTCCTTAAAGGAACTACTAAAAAACAGACTAAGGTCCTGAAAGATAGCAAAGAAATGCAGTTAAATGGGAAATTATAAGCGTGTCTTTATACTGTGCTGAAGTCCAGCTGAGTTCAGATTTAGAATGTCAGGACAGGGCAGTGCAAATGTGTGGAGCCGACATCATGATCATGAGAATACTTCATTTAAAACATTTCAAAGAATTAAAATAAGCCTGTGTCTCTTATACTACAAACTCTCTTTACACCAAGAGCTTGCTTAAGAATTGGCTCAAGGAGAAAAGTTTATTCCTAGGTATTGGAAATCTCCTGGTGTGGAAAGTTTTATCTCCACCTGAATTTTTATGGTTCACCACTTTAGTGGAGAGATAAGACAGGCCAGCAAACCTAGCTAAATTGGGTCTAGAGACTCATAAAATAGATATGTCTGGGACCAAATTATGGACAAGGAAATTGGTTTGGTAATTAATGCTCGATTAAAATATGATGATCAGGCTAGTCCTCAATTTGGCATTGCATTATGAGAGAATGGAAAAATAGCTTCTCTTGGAAAAGCTGTGTTTCCTGTATAAATGTTAAATAAATTCACTTGTGAGTAAGAAAAAGATGGAAAAGGGCAATTGAATATAGAAATATATTTTTGGTAAGAAAGGTTAAACAGAAAGAATAATGCTAAAGAAAGGACTGGCATGGAATTTTTGTCCTAAAAATGACTCGTTATTTAGGAAAAGGGAATGTTAGGACAATACAGAAAGTTTTAAACTATGTTTTGGTAGACTGTGCGTGGTACATGCAGGTTAAGATAAAGTTTATGAAAGGAATTTATTAAGGAATTTTGGCTAAAACAAATATTTCTGTCAATATTAAATTACTCTTAATAAAATGACATGATGTACTCATTTTGATTCATAATATGTTTCCTTTTTAAATTTTAAAATCATCACTACATACGTTTTTCTTTAATTTTGGTAACTGACCTAAAAGAAGCGAAGATTTGGCTGGGCGTGGTGGCTCATGCCTGTAATCCTAGCATCTGGGAGGCCGGGGCGGGTTGATTGCTTGAGGTCAGGAGTTCAAAACCAGCCTTGAGCAAGAGGAAACCCATGTCTACATTAAATAGAAATAGAAATTTTGTAATATATTATAGAAAAATTATTGCTGGGCATGGTGGTGCATGCCTGTATCTCCTGTTACTTGGGAAGATGAGGCAGGTGGTTGCTTGAGGGTGTTGTTGAGGATACTGTGAGCTAGGCTGACTGCCACGGCACTCACTCTAGCCTTGGGCAACGAGTGAGGTTCAGTTCTAAAAAAAAAAAAAAAAATAGAGAAGAAGCAAAAAGTTTTGATTTAGAATGCCGGCATAGATGCCTTTCTAATATAATATATATAATATAGTGTGCAGCTGAAACACTTTAAAATTGCCCGAAATGCTGCGCAGAACATTTAAAATGCAAATGTTGAACTGAGACTATCTGTAGCAAAAGAGCAATTCCAGAGAACAAAGACAATCCGTGACAATGGCCTTTCTTTCACCATCTACTATATATATGAAAAGTACCTATAGGTATTTTGGCCTGACCGCTCCAGGCACATTGAATATTAACGTTAATTGGCTAATTTCTCTTCACAGTAACAGGAGTATCAGGTACATGTCGTGCGTGTATGTTCGAATATTCGGGAGAAATTTCAGTCTATGATGGAGTTCCACTGTCTGATATATCTGTATTCAGACTTGTAGGATCATGTGCACACATTTCTGGTTATATACTTATTATTAGCAAAGTGGAGTGGAAAAGAATCTATGTTTTAAGCCAAGGAGGCTTGGGGAAGTCTTGGAATAAACGTATACTGGCAAACATTTTTTAATGACCAGAAACCTCAATTAGAAATAAGCTCAAATAGCAAATCTTTTGTGCCCTTATGAGATACTAAACGATGTTACAATTATTTTAGCTAAAGATGGGCATATTTATAATAGTAGATTTAAAAGACTGTTTTTTGTTTTCGTTTTTTTACTTGATTCTGTTCAATATCTGATAAGAGGAAAAATTTGCCCTTTACCATGCCTGCTTCAAACAACAACACCCAATGAACAATTATCAATGCAAATTCTTGCCTTTCAAGTACCAACGAAACGGTATCAATGCAAAGACTTGCCTCAGGGCATTGCTTAATAGCAAAACCTGTGCCAGCATTTTATCAATCAGCCTTTAGAGATATGGGGAATAGTATTATTTGAATCAGGCCCACGAGGGAGATTACTACTTTCTTCCCCACAGAGCCAGGGTCCCTAAGATAGGGCGTGCCACAGAGGATAAGGAAATTGATACGTAAAGAGAGAAATAAAGAATACACAGAGGCTAAGGTATAGTTTATAGTTTAGTACATATATAAAGGATCAGATATAACGCATAACGGTAAGGTAGCCTAGGGAGACTGTGGATCTCCACAAACGCCAGCAATATGGTTGATTCATAACAGGTTTTCATAATCACAGGGATTATCAATGTAACCAGTTGTCAGGGTATCATTATTTGCATATCAGGAATGCAGGTTGCTTAGGGGATACAGGTAGTGGTTAGGGTCAAAATGTCCTCTCAGGGGGCTTCTAATCTATCAGGGTGAACAAACAGTTACAAAGTATTTCAGGGTCTAACTTCTAAAGATGGGTAGTGGTTGTCAATAACAGAAGGTAAACAAAAGACTGGTATAGTGGACTCTATTATATCTGTTGAGTTAAGTTATGGTGAACTAAAGGTTAGACAGAAAGGAGAGACCAGGAAGCTCATCTCTAATAAAACAAGTTATTTATAGACCACAGGTCTTCTTCTGGGCAAAGTGCACTCATTGTATCCAGCTCCCATTCCCATGGGCCATGATTTGCCCTTGTCTTGTATTTCCAAGACCACAGGAAAGCTCACCAATTTTTGGAGATACTGGGGAAGCCTTCCTGGAAAACATCGCCACCAGAGATTTTGAGAGCTCGCCCATGATAGGCAGCCTCTAATAAGGTGAACCATTGAGTCCCACACATTCCTCAGGCCAAAGCCCTGGCAGCTCTTGTTTCTGTCTTCAATATAGTAATATTGGGTTATAACAATAAAATAGATTTACTAATTTTCCAAATCTCCATTAATACCTCAATCATATTTCTCAACAATAGACATATT